TCTCTGAATCTGACGCCTTTGTGTGTCTTCAGGGAGCGAGGAACACTATTCACAGAGAATTTAGCTCCAAGGAAACGGCCTCAGCAATACTCTGAGAAAGATGAGCGTCCTATTTCTTAAATACCACAGAGTAATCCTATGTTTTCTGTAATGCTGCTATCATGTCATCCATTGCTACCCACTCCCCTTGTTTGTGTTTACTGGGTTCAACAGATGGTGGTGTCGAGGCCTCTCGGTGCAGTTTTGGAGGCCAAAGAAATGAGGGGAAAAATGAAGTGTGGCAAGAGATGAATAATTGATGATGGATCCTTTTTTTTCTTGCTTGTTTGTTTTGTTTTTGTTTGGGTGGGTTTTTTTTCCCCACTGGGCTAACTTGACCCTCAAGTTTGGCACCAAGTCACAGCAGAGATGTGCTCAGATGAAGTCTGTGTACAAGAAAACAGCTTACAGTGCAGAGCAGTGTCTGATTGGCCTATCTTTCAGAGGGAAAGCGGATTAGAGTGGCCGCTTATGTCTGTGCATGAGTGTGTCTTTGTCTGTTAGTGTGTGTGTGTGTGTGTGTGTTGGCAGCAGGTGCACTCAAGCACGCCTACCACGCGCTCCCGCTCCTGTGCATAAGGTTAGTAAGATTGAGAAACGAAAGGAAGGGAAGGCACCTCTGTGACTTTAAAAATATTTTTAGTCCATCGTGCCTCAGTGGTCAGGAAAAAATTGGCACTGAAGGCGGAATTAGGCTTGTGCCAGGACGCTAATAAGGTTAAGGAAAGCTCAGTCCTAATGTACCAGAAATTAAACGTCACTTGCAAGTACACCGTCACCTGGGAGCTGCTTCACCTCATCGCACACAGACTTTGGAGAGAGAAGGCGGCGCATATTTGTGCACGGTAACACAGGTATGTAGCTCTTGCTTGCTCTTCTTAGAATAAGGACAGCAATTTGGAGGAAGTTGGGAAATTTCTAGCAGGTTTTTTTTTTTAAATTTTAGACAAGAATATAAGAAGGGAAAAACAGGTGTTGCACTGTATTCACAAAGGAATCAATCTACAAGGCCGTGTTTGGGCGTATTTGGTTCATTTTCTGACAGTGTAAGCCTATTCTTGTGCTTTGGAAGTTGTAGTTTAAACTTGAGTTTTGCAGTGGTGTGCAAGAGCAAAATACATATATATGTACATATCGCATTTGTTAGCTTCTTTGCTTCATACCCCAGCTGACTATTCAAATTTAATGAACACAGCCCAGTGTGTGTTATCTGGTTACCAGACTCAAGTTACACTTATGAGGCTACACAGCACGAACAAACATACCTCTCGGAGTGTCCAGAAGAGCACCTGATTCAGTGTTGAAGATTACCTAAAGTACTACTAAAGTTTAGTTTTATTGTACTTTTAAGCTACACTTTAAGGAACTTCTACTCTAATACAGAAGGAAGTATTGTACATTTCTAGTCCAGAAAGCTGTGGTTGCATTTTTGATTTAAGGTACTTCATAAAACATAAAAAAACAAAAAACAAATATATGTCTCCTTAAAGGCTAAATCAATGCTTTAGTGTATGTTTGCCTCGTGAGTGTGAACATGTCCAGTGAAGTGGTGTATTGAAATTACTTTTCATGGTCCTGGGAGTGTTGGATTTCTACTTGTAATGCAGCGCTTTCAGATTGTTTTGTATTGATTCATTCTCTTAATTAACAAGATGATCTGAATACTCATTTCACTCCTCTGCAGTTTTGCTTTTTATAACAGAAGGCATGCCTAAAGGGCCCTGGTAGCACTGTACTAATAAGTGTATGTGTACACTGTATGCAGGTGTGTATGTGTCTGTATAAATTGCTGGGTTTGCACATGCCTCAGAGAGTGCTTGTCCCTAGGCCTGTGTTTGATGTTGAGCCTGTACGCTGGTTTGTGTTTGTGTGTGTGACTGTCTGCCCGTCCGTCTGTCTGGGTGAATGCTTTTGCTTTGCATCACTGAATACTTCAGTCAGTGTGTTTATGTGACTATGTGGATGAGACATACACACACACACACGCCAGAGACGGAGGCGCATGTATGGACTGCTTCCGCCTCACAGCGTAGAGACAATCAGGGCATGCTTCGGCAGTCAGTGGAAAGAAGGGGAGGAACCGAGCAATCGCTACACCACCATCATTTATCACCGAAGACAGACACCGAAACTCACCTCTGCCTACACGTACACATTCGTTTAGGTGAGGAGGAGGGTGAGGAGGAGGAGAGGAAGCAGGAAGAAAGCAGAAAGAGGGAGACAACTATAAAAATATCCACATCTGTGAAAGCCAAAGAGGTGAAGTTAGGGTGAAGAAAGCATGTTTTTGCAGAAAGAGGTACTAAAGGCTAAGAGAAAAAGCAAAGCATTACAGGAAACAGTGAAAGTGATGGAGTAAAGCGTGGATTTGAATGCTGTAGCTTTACCAATTATGGTTAACATTTTCCTACTCTAAAATATAAGAAACAAAGAATGTGACATTTGGCCTTTTTTCCCTTCTTCTGCAACTAAATGAGATGCCTAACACACATCTTCACTTAAATGTGAAGCTACAGCCAGGTGACGGTTAGCTTGGGTGTCAATAAAAATTGGAAACTGGAGGGGGGGGGCAGGCTATTATAGCTCACCTGGTTGTGTGGGGGAGCCATATGCCAAAAGGCTGCAGGGGCTTGGGTTTGAATCCACCCCAGACCATTTGCTGCATGTAATTCTCCCTATTTTCCTGTCTGCTCTTTACTATCTTGCCAAAAAATAATAGCTAAACACACACCCCAAAAATAACCCTACACACTCATTGTTTTAAGAATAAGAATAACTTTATTTACCCCGAGGGAAATTCTTTTGTCATGTACATGCTCAAAGCAGCAGGAGAGACAGAGGAACGGATGAATAAGATATACAATATATACAATAAGAATAGTAGTATGCATTAATATACAGTAGGATAGTGCAAGACATAGTATCAAATAACTCTAACGAAGTAATATATATAACTACATCCTGGAGAATAAATAACTTAACTATCAGTGCAGGCGATTCTAGAAAGTGACATAGTATTGTGCAATAGAATAAAGGGAGTAGCAGCGTATTATGGGGGGATGAAACAAATATTCAATAAGGTACTGTTGGGTACGGTTGGTGCTGTTTCTTTAATCAGCACTGAAAAAACACATTGTACAAATCATGTGCTGGACTGTTTCTTGACCTATGTTTTGAGTAACTTTCTGGAATCCTTGCTGGTTTTTAACTCTGATGAAATAACTTTTTTTCTCCATAATTTGTGTATGTGTTAATATAAAAAAACGCTAATTTAAAAACTCTAAATTTGAGGGGGGCTGTTTGCCCCAAATTTTGGGCTTAGACACAAGAGTGATCATCTGATCTAAAATGTCATCTATACCAAACTTTAATTAAATAATCTCTCTGAATAGATTGTATGGCAGATTTTTATCAAATATTTTTATCTAATTATTTCTATTCCAACATATTTATAGCAAAAAATCAAAAGACTGTACTCTCGTGTGTAGGCTTATGGCTTTCAATGCCTAAAAACAAAGATATCTGAAGGACAAACAAATATCATCCCACTTGCAGGGGCTGTCATGACATGTAAACAGTGGTAAAATGATGATTTGTAGTGCCACATGCTCTTATTCCTATCAATTCTATTATTAATAGAACAGGAAGAAATAGACACAAGCACTAAAGCTCTGGTCTTTGTTGTTTCTACCGCACTGTCTAGTTACCCAGTTTTTCCCTTTACCAAGCTAGTCCAGGTACTAAGGGCTTTTAACTGGGTAAAGTGAGGACACATTTCCCCCCTCAGAGCTCCACATGCAAAACAGCAAATGAGCACTTGCTGTCATATCGTGACATATCTCCTTGATGTACAGCGGAGACGACATATTTTAATATCCTACTTGCCAAATCTGGTGGCCTGCTGTGCATGTTCTCAAGACAATAGAGCTAAATACACTGTAGGTTTAATTTGCAACATGTGGGCAGGTTTAATGGAATTCTGTTTACAGCTTTGGACTGTTGTGTGTGTGTTGCTGTGGTGGTGTTATGGTGTAAAGATGCAACATACTGCTGCCTCTGCATTGTCTTTTCATTACCCTCCTTTTATATTACACTCATTTGATCCTGTGCTGTGTTCTTCATGATAACAACAGCAATTAAATCTTCACAAGGAGAGAGGAGATAAAGAATGCATTGCAACTTATCTGGCTTCAGTCAGTGAAACCTGATTTTCCCAGCCAGCCTTCAAATGCACATTATCATATCTGACAATATAATGTATTTTGGATTTTTAAAAAAAACTGAGAAAGAGAGATGTACAGCTGCCAACTGAGAAGGCATATGAATTACTCTTCTTGTTAGGAGTCATCTGTGGACTACTGCAGATGTCCGTTACATACTTTGTGATTGTTTTCCTCCTTATATTAGATCTATATAATTTAACTATAACTGAATGGTTAGTCCAGGTGTGGGCATTATACAGCAACATCAACAAACACTTCCAAGGAGCTCCAAATGCGTTCAGCTGTCTGATCTGTTTTACCTGCTTTAATTTGTGAGAAGCTGAACATACGACTCAAAATGAAGGCATCAGTGAACCCGCCTGTTCCATACATTATGACGAATAGGTCTCCTTTAAATCCATATTTTCCCCCGCTGATGTCTTCGGATCACCTGTCAGAGGAGGAACATGCGCGGTGGGCATCAGAGCTGAGAGGCTGGTGGAAAACCTGCGTGAAAACGTCAAGTGTCACAAAGCGGAAGTCCAATTCCGCTTCACTATAAAGGCATCCAAATGTCATAATTGAAGATGAGACGTTTAAGGATGAATTGGTTTCTTTTTTTCTTTCATTTTCATTTACGAGCCTTACTAATCCGTTTTTAACCTTCACTAGTCCAAATTCGTCGTTGTGTGCTCAGTGTACGTTTTAAATGCCCAGTAAAAAACGCTTTCCTTTCCTCTTCATTTTGATTTTATTTTGTAAGACTGTACCGGAAACCAGCTTTTGTGGCTGTGAGCGGTTGTAAAAACGGAGACCCCTCTTACGGAAAACTGTGGTTAACTGTGCTGTAGCTACAGCTGCAGAGATGCGAGGGACAGAAAAACGTCGAGAAAGGAAACAGAGGGCAACACCGAAGCTGAACGTAAAGTAACCGCCGTCACAAATCATCTGAGATGTTTCGAGAAACCGAGGAGCAGCATCTTCGCAGCGCTTTCTCCCGCTGGAGATAAAAAACCGAGAAGAGGATCGCGCATTGATCCGAGAACAGGGGGACGGGAGGGGCCGATCATGGGGAACGAAGCGAGCCTTGAAGGAGGCGAGGGGCCGCCGTCTGGGCTACCCGAGGGGCTGGCACCTGACGGGAAGGGGGGCTTTTACCGGGTCTCAGACGGGACACCGGTCAACCTGAGTGAACTCAGCGAGGAGCAGAGGCGGCAGCTCTCCGCGGCGATGTCAAGGGCGCAAGGCAGGCAGCCCGGAGGCGCGGCGGCTGGACGAAGGCAGGGAATTTAAACCGCATTTATGATGCACTTCAAATACCCACACTAACCAGGCCATTTTATACGACACGGAGAGAGGATGGGCACGAGTGGATGTGTTGTGGTTGTGTGAAGCATCGTTTGGGAATCTCTGAGATGCTCTAAAGGAGGCAGAGAGCCCGATCACGCCCATTAAAAAAAAAAAAAATCATGTCAACCGCTCCAAGAAATGATTCCCTTCTTAGAGCTCGCTCTTATGGATAATCACCGAGATCTGGTGATCTGCATGGCTGAGAGTGATGTCTATGTTGGCAATTAAGTCGTACAGCCATTCGCGCTTCTAACGCAGACATGCAAGTCTCATTTTAACCCAGCAAACGATTTGAGTGTATGTGTGTGTGTTCCGTATTAAGAAGTATACAGTATTGGTCACTGTTTATGTGTGGTATGTGCGTAAGAGACACACCTCCAGTATTTATGCGAAATTTTCGAAATGCCTGCTGGGTAAGAAAATCTGTCGTGCCCAGTGTGTTTTTCTCCGATCGAACGATGCCTTAACACCCAGCTAAAAACAAACCCGACACCGTCAGCCGTGAATGCGCGCCCCGGTGTCGCCAATTAAACGTTTACCCCTGAATTTCACCGAATTGGATTTTAACCGATGGTGTCGTGGAGGAGGAGTGGGGGGTGGGGGATGCTTGGTTGTGAAACTGGGGTGTAGAAAACTGCCGACGAAAACAATATGTAGATTTGGGTTTTACGTAATGTTTATCACGGTGAAAGGTTTGTGAATAAGTGTGGGATAAAATGCCAAGATTTGCCTTACTAATTGGCTCCAGCGGGAGGGGGGGGGGGTATTTATATCTGAGCAGAGGCTGAGAGTGGGGGGAGGGGGCACGTCAATATTAATATGACTATAAATAGAACAGAACAGGCGTTAATGTCATCACTCATATATGTCTTCGCAGCTGAACGTTTAACTAAGTCGGGTTTCATCCTCTGTTGTGGACACATCTGCCCTGGAATGAGGCTGATCGCTGTCCGTGGTCCTGAAATCCACGATCCAGCGGGCTGGCTCACAGCAAGCATTGCGCCGCCACTACTTTTCACTGTTTGCTCTGCTCTTAAAGTACCCCCACATAGCCTGTGCTCACTATAAAATAATCACATGTATTCATTACTGCATTAAACTTTATTGCCTGAGGATGTAATTTAATAATGGCCAAAGCCTCAGAGACTTTAAAACAGCAGAACCAATATATCTCGGCTGTATGTTGCATACACACGGTGATACAATAACAAACAGTATCCAGTCGGTCCATTAGCACATTGATGCATTTCTCTAAATATCCTGCAGTCCTTTGGCTAGGCTTGTGCTTACTGCATGTTGCCTCTCAGTCTGAGCTAACAAACGCGTCTCAGCTTACCCCTGTGGAGCCAAGCGTCTCCCCTCTCTATCTCAACAATCTACACTCCCATGTCATTCAACGGTATTCACTTTCCTGTCAGCTTTACCCCAGGGCTACTCACTACACATTTTGTGCTCACTGATGTGTTGAATAGGCCTGAGAGCTACGGGCTTAGCTTGTGTTATTAGCAGAGGGATGCTACAGGTTTTGTTGTTGAAAGGATTAATAGCATAGCATGCAAACAGTCCAAGAAAAAAAGGAGATGATAAATGTTCCTATCCTCTGTAATTCACAATATTATTGGAAAAAGGAAGCTTTATTAAGCATTAATGTACGCGTAACTAAGACAAAAGGCTCAGGTAGATGTTAAAGCGTGTGATGCTGATGTGATTGGGTTTTTTTTAGCGTTTGTTCAGAAAATGTGTTGGAGTGTCAAAGTGAATATGAATGATTCAAGCAGAAACAATAACACAAATGAGTTGTTTTTCAGGGACATTGCACATTTATCTGAAGCTCCATAAATGTGTTAATTTCAGCCAAAAGAAAATTTTCAACTGTCGCCAGATGTTGGTTTGTTCTCTAAAAATACAAAGATTAATGGATGAAGGTGGAGTTGAAGTGGATTTTGGAACTATCCAGATATTAAAGTCTTCGTTTCCAGTTAGGTGTTATTATCTATCTAACAGATAAACCTATCTGTGTCTGTTTTCTTTCTTCCAGACCATCAGAATCTGACGCACAGCAGCGTTCCCAGCAGGTAGGAGCCTCCAGGGGCCCAACAGGTCTTAGCAAAAGCCGAACTGTTGACGCCTTCAACCAGGGTCCACTCGGAAAGCCCACACCAGGCCGCAGCCCTTCGTCTCTCAGCCTTTTTGAATCAAGATTCCGGCAGGAGCCAAAAGACCCTGAGACCAAGTCATCCGGCATGTTTGGCTCCAGTTTTCTCAGCGGGGCCAACCCCCTCAGCGCTGTATCTTCTATGACTTCGTCTGTCTCCTCCTCCATATCCTCCATGGGTGATACTGTCAACATTCCCAAATTTGGACTGTTTGGGGATGAAGAGGAGGAAGGCTTGCCTGCAGCTTCTGAGTCCAAGCAGGGAGGGAAGCCACAAGGGAAAGGCCCACAGCAAGGGCCAGGTCCGAAGGGACCACAGCAGGGAGGACCCCAGAAACAGAGTCAGGGCCCTCCTGGACAGGGAGCAAAGCCAGGACAAGGACCCCCTGGTCAAGGACCCAGACAAGTTCAGGGACCACCAGGCCAAGGGCCAAAAGCAGGCCAACGTCCTCCTGGCCAAGCACCACCAGGGCATCAGGCCCCCAGACCAGGTCAGGGACCACCGGGTCAAGGCCCACCAGGGTCACAGGCACCCAGACCAGGTCAAGGACCCCCAGGTCAAGGAACCAAACAGGGAGCCCCTCTCCAACAAAAAGGTGGTCTGCCACCACAGCAACAACAACAACAAGGACCTGGGAAACCTGGACCCAAACAGCAAGTGCCACAAGGGCCTGGTGCACATCCTGAAGCCCCAGGAAAGACTGCTGGGCCCCCTATTAAGCAGGGAACTGGAAAGCCTGCAGCTGGGATCTGCCCACTATGTAAAACCACCCAGCTGAACGTTGGATCTAAGGATCCACCTAATTACAATAACTGCACTGAGTGTAAGAACCAGGTCTGCAGCCTGTGTGGATTCAGCCCCCCAGACTCAGCGGTAAGACACGACTGTTCATTCTTTTCTTTTTTATTAATTTTTTTTCCTCGAACCCCTTTCTTGTCATGAAGACTTTAAAAGCGTTATCACACCTTGTATAACATCCCAAATGATTCATTTCATGTCAGCACCCACAGATCTGTGCTTTCCAGACATCTAAAGGTAAAAAAAAAACATGTATAATTCCTATGTTAGTATACTGGCATTTAACTAATATTACACAATCTAGTTTATGTTATGATGACAGTGTGTGGAAAAGGCCAAGTATCATTCGATTTTATGTCAGTGAAACATCAGTTTTTCTGGGGTTTTTTAATAAATATAATCTGCCAGTAGGAAGACTTCTTGGCTCTGCATTTAAATCACCATAAAATGACTAGTCAAACCAATTTGTAAACAATGGAAGTTAGCGTCCTCATCCTAAATAGACCAACAAAGAAAAAATGATTGCAGCATACAAAAGAAGTCAAGATAACTAGCCAAGGTGCACATCTTTGCGCTGAAGCTGAATTCAGCGCTCGCCTGTTAACAGCATATCGCTGTTCCGTGAGCCTGGCAGAAGGAGCGCATTTAATAAGAGTTGCAGACGATTTGAGGAACAGAGGGACCATATGGACCCAGGGAATGTTGATCAAGGTGACTCATGTCATGGCCACAGGAAGATACTGTGCCAGCCGTGAGGACACTCAGTCACACATGGACTGTAAACGCTAGTGGGCCATGATCATAGCAGAGCAGAATGGCTGGTTCCGTCTGCTCGAGTTTCTTCTTGGGATCGGCTGATGTGCGTAATAACACTGGGGATAGTTCAGAAGGCACATTTTTAAAACAAGAGGCTTTGATTTTTGGGTGCATGTTTAGACAGACACTAGGAGGAAGTCCACCAAGGGTGTATACAACTCTTAGAGCGTGCTTCTATCGCTGCAAGTGGCAGCTGATACAATAATATATCAGCACCTACGTTTATTACTCTTATCTGCAACAGACTCTACACAGCTTTGCCATTTATACTTGGGTTGTTCTTCGAAAGCCAGCGTATTTGCATATGTTGGACGGATTGATCTGTTTACATTTACGCAATAAATAGGCGACCATTACACACAAAAATACGCACACTGCTCTACGCTACAAATACAAATACACATTCTTCTAGATAGCGATCAGCCTGTCAGCACTGACCCTTTTGAACACTGTACTTTGCACACAGTGGAAACCAAGGAGATAGCCAAACACTGAACAAAGAGCTCTCTGCTGTAAACCCAGCTTTTTTAAGAACAGGTGTTGATAACTCCTGTATGGTGTAAACAAAGGCAACAAAAGACAGCCAGTTATCATCAACATATAGACCACCTGTAATAAAGCTACTATAACCTGGCATTGATGCATGAATAGTATTTGCTTTTTTTGACTGATTAGTATTTGTGTAAATGTTGTTGATGAAAAAACAGGAATTAGCATCCTTTGAGATGCAAATTATTTGGTTGTGTCTTTTATTTGCGATTAAAGTTAGTTATTGGGCATATACTGTACTTACACTTGTCACTGGTGCATCTAACTAATGCTTTGTTTGTATCTTTTCTTTCATGCACAGGGTAAAGAGTGGCTGTGTCTGAACTGTCAGATGCAGCGAGCCATGGGAGGAATGGATCCCCCTGGTGTGACGAAGCCCAAGCAAGGCTCCGCCCCACCCTCTCCTCAGAGACAGGCATCGGGAAAACCTGGAAAGCTCCTGATAAAACAGCAAAGCACCTCCGACCAAGGGTTAACACCACCAACCACACCAAGGCAGAAATCCCCAGGTCCTACCTCTCCAGGACCACTTTCACCAGGCTCCTCAGTCGCGGGATCCCCCAAAATCGACCCCAAGACAGGTCGCCCCATTATTCAGAAGTCCAGTCCTCAGCAGTCCCCAGCTAAACCCAAGCAGGAATCAAGCTTCTTTGGAGGGTTGGGAGGTATCAGTTTAGGGGGGCTCACAGATGCAGCTAAGCCACCAGCAGCTGCTTCACACGCTGCTGAGTCAGTCACGGGAAAACTGTTTAGTGGGTTTGGTGGGTTGATGGAGTCGTCGAAGCCTCAGGCCCAGGCTGCTCCAAAACAGGAGGAATCTGTTGCTGGGAAGTTGTTTGGAGGTTTTGGAGGCTTGACAGAGTCCACTAAACCTCCTGCAGCCACATCTCAAATGTTTAGCTTTGGATCATCCCTCTTGAGCTCAGCCACCAGTCTTGTCACGGGAGAGGAAGATAAAGCAAAGGGTTCACCTCCTGGGTCACCACCTGACTCCCCTGCAGACTCTGGTCCCGGTTCACCACCTGACTCCCCCCTCTCTGGCCCTGGCTCTCCCCCTGATTCAGACTCTGCTCCTGAAACACCGCCCCCTAAGACCAAGAAACCCCCCAGAACCATTTCTGTGGAGCGGGAAGAGAAAGCCCCGGAAACCAAACCTGTGCCCGCTTCAGCTCCAGCGACGAAGGAAAACTGCCCTCTGTGTAATGTGGAGCTAAACGTTGGCTCGACAGACACGCCCAACTACAGCCTCTGCACCGAGTGCAAGAAGACAGTGTGCAATCTGTGTGGATTCAATCCTACTCCTCACTTAGGAGAGGTAAGAAACCCTTATCATTGTTGCTGTTTTCTTACGCCCCTACAGCTTCCTGCGCTCTCAGCACCGTGCACCTACTGCTAATTTATGCATTCTGGTCTATATAAATAGAACACAAACATCCTCTAGATGTTTCGTTGAAATAGGTCACAGTAGAAATACAATTAGGACTATTCAGTTGAACGTTTTCCCCACTAGCATCTTGCAAAAATACCCTTTATTTCTTCTTTTAAGTCTATTAGTTTGACTCAGATAGACAGTGTAATGGCATCTGCACATATTTGACTGCTGAATTAATGGATGTGGTCAATTATGCAGCGTTTAAAAAAATCTGTAAGCCTCATTACTGTCAAGCTTTCTTTAGCTGAGAGCGCGGCCAGACACGTGAAGATAAATAGCTTTTTTGGAGGACTCATCATCAAAGAGCACTTGACTGAACACTGTGTGTCTGTATATGTGTGTATTTGGCTGTGTGCGCTTGTGTGGTCATGTGTAGCGAATGCACGCTTTCCTTTATATAGAGCAGTCTTTAATTGTGAAACTGGATACATGCGACTTGGTAAATCTGTAAATGCCAATGCTTATTTGTCTGCTTTTCAGCATGTGAAAGCATCTCCAACCAGTCACTTCCAGCCTGGTTATCTATCAAGGTGCGGGGACAGGTTTGCTGGTGTTTTCCATGTGTTGTTCCATGTGGAAGCAGCACTGTGAGACCGTGCTTTGAGTTCCACACAGCAGATGGTACTCTGTGGTGTCGAATCAGTATATAATGGGAACAGAGGCCAAAAAGTGCTTTTGGTTGAGCAGTTTCCCAGCATGCAGGCAAAGCATAGTCACATATGCTGCACCCACGTGAACATGTGAATTGTCCCAATTTTGTTTATAGCGTATCTGAGTCACATCTCACAATTAGATCAAACATCCATTGAGAACTAAAGTATAACATAACTAAAGCTAGTGGTCACTTGGGATGGCTAATATCCTCTTGACATGGTCATGCCACTCAGAGCGCAAACACATGTTTGCCAGGCCGAAGCCGTATCCTGGTTTCACGTGATAACTGCTTTGTTAGGTCAAGGTTTGGTAATCTGCTGTGTATTTCTGGCTCTAAGCTGAGAATGAGCTTGTGAACGCTGCCAGTTCAGAGGCAGTTTGACATTATGAAAAATATCCTTATTCCCATTTTCCCATTCTGCTTTCATATCTGTCTGTTAAAGAAAATGCTACAGCCAGCAATCCCAGGAGTCTCCTGGAGTTTGGCACACAAACAACCTTTAAACAGGGAGTTTCTGTGTTTACACTCAAGTTTTTGCACCCACCCCTCACTCCCATGTCTGGCAGTCCAGTGACGAGAGTCCACAAGCAGGTCGCGGTCACATCTACACTCCCCTTTTATATATGACCACTATTAGTTTACAGTGGTGACAGGACTATTAAAGTTTTTGTACTGTTGTCGTCTTCTGAAGCTCGGATTTTTTTTAATTGCACATGCTTGCTGGGAGACTGAGGAGCTGAATCACTTAATTGAGGCCAAGCATGGAGGGGGAAATGTAATTACAAAGGCGAGATGGGCATTCAAGCCACTGATGCTCTAATTGGACATAGATTAGTCCTCTTAACATCCTCTTTTCTTGAAGCCCGACTCCGTTTTGTTTTTAGGACAGGCGTAGCTAGAAATTCTTACGGCGAGGGATGACTATTTCTTTCTCTTGCAGGGCTGAATAAGACACATACGTTGAATAAAAATGAAAGGTTCTGACTGAAGTTGTGACCAAGCTTTTGAAGGTTTGGCATAAAAGACACGCACACACACGGCACCTAGGTTGAGTCATCTGCCCCCTACGTAGTACGCCTCACTCGTGTGTCATTCGCTGCCATAATGTCGGCTTTCAGCGAGGGTTTAGTTGCTGACGTGAGTGGTGCAGAGTGTGTGGCGAGTGTGTGTACGTGTGTGTGGGAGGGGACAGTTTGTTTAATTTGTGAGAATGTCGAGCTATTGACATTTGGCTGAGTAGGCTCAGGTGAGCCTTCACACTTCAGGAGAGTTGCTTCTTTTAGTGTGTTTTTGTTCTCACGGTGTGCATGTGCAAGGATTAGAAATAAGGCATTTCAGGGTCTGTTTGCTAAAAATGTGTCATTTTGTTGAAATATTGAAGGGTGAGCGTCCATCTGACTGTAATGTGTCAGCATGTGTAGCCATAATCTCTGTGTCCTGAAAGGATTTAAAGGGCAACAGGAAGTCTGCCATTTCTGTTGAGGCGTGAGCCCCGACTCAGGTGTTTCTGCTTAATCCCATCAATATGAGTTGTGAAAATAGCCACCCTGGAAGGAAAGGCACTCACCTTAATGTGTTTTCTCTGTTGCTTGCTTTCTTTCAAACGCAGCTCCCTTCCTTGCATTTTTGTCCTATTTTCTCTGTCTTTTTTGTATTTCCCACTCTTTTGTATTCTTGGTCTTATCCTTATAAGACAAAGAACGACTTTCCTAATACCTGCGTTTTTAAAGACAGTGTATTCTCTATGAGAACCCTCCCTGAACAGTGCTATCCCCCTGCTTTTACCAATGGGGCCCCCTTTGAAGTAGGGAAAGTGTGTAAATGTGTGTCTGCTGCTCAGCAGTGTTACTTTAGCTCAGGCTCCATGTCATATTGTCCTTATCAGTAATGAGTGTGCTTTTTGAAGGAGCCTTACGTAAAATGGGAAGTGCAAATCAGAGAGTCAGAGCTAAGAGTAGAGTTGTGAGTTACACTCTGTGTCACCTCCACCTACATAAACCAACGAGATTTCCACCTTTTTTATTTGAATTCTGCAGAAGGTAATCTGTGGTTTTGAAATTGAACATATTAATGTAATGTTCATACTAGGGTTGGGCGATATGTAAAAAATTTTCCAACCGACACTCGTCAGTCCAATAATCGACGATGGGCGATATATTCGCGCATGGGCAGACATTTTGATGGGCGGAGCAATGTAATCATGCATGTACTGATTTGTGCCTTTACAACTCAGAAGTCCAAACATGGACAAACTTAACTTAACAGGTCATCACAATTAACGCAATTAAAAATTTTAACGCGCTCAACCCATCTGGAGCGCAGAATGAACAAACTTTGGACAAAGTGCCCGAAATGTGTTGACAGAGACATTTAAGGGATTTTGACTCAGTCTGCACTCCAGATGGGTTAATTGTTAATCGCGTTAGTCGTAATGACGGAGCGTTAATGCTGACAGCACTAAAAAAATATAAAGACGCCAATTTGGTATGAAAGAGGTAAACCTAAGGGTGTAACCACCCTCTGAGGAGGGTACATTTGCTCGCAGATGAAAGAGGGTGCCGTTAAAACAGCGCTATTAATATTTAATTTTTTTTCTGTTGACTGCTTCTGTTAGCTCCATCATTATTAGCAAACTTACTCATGGTCAAATGAATAAATAAATCGCCTTTGTAAAAACGATCGCCGATGGGCTCAGCCTATCATCGATTGTCGATATATTTGTCCAATCGCCCAACCCTAGTTCATACTCTTAATGCATTTGGACTATGTCAATACAAGCTCAAGTTCAAACCAGGAATCAGAATGGCGAAGAAAGGAGATTTAAGTGACTTCAAACATGGTGCTTTGAAGTCCAGGAGATCAGCTGAGTATTTCAGCTGATCTACTGTGGGGTTTACAGAGAATGGTCCAAAAAGGAGAAAATATATAGTGAGCACAAGGCCTCTGGGTGTAAATGCTTTCTTGATGTCAGAAGTCAGTGAAGAATGGCCAGACTGGTTCAAGTTGATAGGAAGGCAACAGCGATTCGCTCATTAGATCCAAAGTATGCAGAAGAGCATCTCTGAATGTGGAACACATCAAATGCTCCAGCAGCAGGAGACCACACCATGTACCACTCCTATCAGCTAAAAACAGGAAACTAAGGGTTCAGTTCTTACGAGCTCATCAAAATTGGACAACAGAAGGAGAGATGTTGCCTGGAACGACGAGTCTCGATGTGTACTTCAACATTCAGATAGCAGAGCCAGAATTTGGTGTCAACAACATGAAAGCATGCTGCTTTATATCAACTGCTGTGGCTGGATCCTGGAGGTGTGATGGTGTGGGGTATATTTTATTTGCACACTTTGGATCCATTAACAGCAAATGAATATCATGTAAACACTACAGCCTGCCCGAGTATTGTTGTTGACAACGTCCATTCCTTTACGACCACAGAGAGGATCATCGGCTGGTGGATGCTTCCAGCAGGATAATGCACCATGTCACAAAATCACCTTAAGCTGGTTTCTTGATCTCAACTGGCCACAGTACACTCTACCAGCGAGCCTTGTTTAGATAAATTAAATATGAAAAGATGTATAAAAACATATAAACGAGAGTTATGAAGATGCATGGTGTTTCCTCTTTTTTTTTCTTTTTCCCCCCACTTGACATTGGCCAACATCTACAAGATTATGCTTTGCTATCCTGTATCAACTGCTCTCCCTAACTTAATTATTAAATACTTTTTGGCTGTTGGTTAATGTATCCTAGAAACTGAACTGCTTTATTCCAGTTTGCCATTTTTGTATTTAGTCACAACTACAAGATTTTAAAAAGTCGTCATCCTGGAAAATGAATAAGCAATGATCATAAAGTGTTGAGTACACCTATTTTTGTGGAATTGTGGAAAGAAATAGTTTAGGATTTTGGTAAGTAGGTCACCCTTGTCTGCTGTCAAACTGACATTCGGGTTAGGAGGCTAGCATCACTTTCTTCTCAAGATTTGTTTAGCCTCAAAGAGAGTAAGCAGAGCAAAATGCAAATGCTAGGCTAGTGGTTTCTTGGCGCAAAAGTAAACACTTCCTTATTTATGACATAAAGATGTCATGAATCTGCTCCTCTGGGTCAGACAGGAAAGGATCATTTCAGATTGTTTCGTTAACTTCACCTCTCTTAATATCTGCTTAAGTTAAGCCGTTAGTTTAGGCTTGTAAAGTTTCGGTTAAAACCAAAAAGCCACTTG